AAACTCCACGACGCGGGCGCGGCGCCACGAGCGGTCCTTGCCAAAGTAGATTTCGATTGTCTTGCCCATGAGCGAGTTGAAGGGGTTGTCCACGCGCTCGCGCGTTTCCGGGTGGCCTTCGTACTCGAAGAACGTGTCTGCACGCCGCATGCCACGGCCTTTGCGCTTTGCCCGCTCCTCGCGCTGCGTGCGTGTGTGCGTGTGCGTGTGCATGTGTATGTGTGTGTGTGAATGAGTGAGAATGAGTGAGAATGAGTGAGAATGAGTGGGAGTGAGTGAGTGATGCGCGCGCGTGTGTGTGAGTGAGTGAGTGTGTGTGTGCGTGCATGTGTGAATGAGTGAGAATGAGTGGGAGTGAGTGAGTGAGTGATGCGCGTCACGACAAAACACACACAAAACACACACGCACACACCTTCTTTTCCACTTCTTTTTCCTGCTTGGTCTGCTTTTTGGGAATGGTGTACTGATGCACGCTGTCTGCGCGAAGCGTGGCATTGGGCTTGCTGGCGTTTGCCAGCCGAGCAGAGCGACGCGGCATCTTGCTTGGATCAAGGACAGGGAATGAGCGGGCTGTTGTCGTGCGTGTGAAGGTCAGTGAGTGGGCTTGTTGAGAGTTGTGGGAAATACGCACCGCCCACGACCCACAGCAAATCCAAACAAGCAACGAGCTTGTTGTGATTGGTTTTATCGCTGACGTCAGCGCAATTCTCGCTTTGCTTGCACAACCACAAACAGCAAAACACCAAAACAGCGCCCTCCCTTCCTCCTCCAGCCAACGCAACAACAAGCAACAAGCAAGCAAGCAAGCAAGATGGCGCACACGACCAACAACCACACCATGCTGCTGCCTGTGGTGGCAGTGGCGGCGGTACTTGCGCTGATGGCTGCGCAGGCGAGCGCCTCGGGCGCGTATGGCGATCCCGGAAAGTTTGACTCCTATGTCCTGGCCCTCTCGTGGACGCCCGAGTTTTGCTTCCAGAACCCTTCCTCCGATGAGTGCAAGTCCATCGAGCCTTCTGACTTTGCCGCCAGCAACTTTGGCCTGCACGGCCTCTGGCCCCAGTACAACTCTTCCCACGACGGCCACGACTGGCCTCAGGTATTGTTGTTGTTGTTGTTGTTGTTGTTGTTGTTGTTGTTGTTGTTGTTGTTGTTGTTGTTGTTGTTGTTGTTGTTGTTGTTGTTGTTGTTGTCGTCGTTGTTGTCGTTGTTGTTTTGTTTTGCTTTTGATTTTGTCATTGAATGCACCCCTTTCCACCCAACACACCGCCACACCTTCTTTGCCAAAACGCTCACTCATCCCCCCCCCACTCACTTGCTCACCCACTCTCTCTCTCGCTCACTCTCGCTCGCAACAGTTTTGCCACGCAGACAACACAAGCTACTGGAAGGCCATCTCCTCTGTGCTGAACAACGTTGAACAAGAGTTCCTTCAGCAGTGGAAGAAGTATGCCCCCGCCTACGCGTACTCCGACCTCCTTACCCATGAGTGGCAGCGTCACGGCTCCTGCGCCCTCCCCGCCGTACGTCCTCCCTACACACACACAAAATGGATTATTCCCGCCGTGCTATTCCTGCTGTGCTCAACGCATGACACGATTGCCTTGAGTGTTTTCTATCCCTGCTGTCTCGTGTGTGTGTGTGTGTGTGTGTGTGTTTATCAATCACACGCTACGGTGTTCCACTCCTTCTTTTGTCCGGTGTTCTCACGATCAAACACACACACAACCTTCCACCTGCAACCACACACACACACACACACACACACACACATCCATCCATGTACACTGTGTCGCTGTGTGCCGTTGCAGGTGCTCAACGCGTGGAAGTCTGTGGACGCGCTGTACGACGTGCAGAAGGCGTACTTTGGATACCAGATGCAGCTCGTGGCTGCCAACCCCACGCCAGGGTTCGTCACACAGGCCCTCAAGTCTGGAAAGCCCGTGGCCGTGTCAGACCTGCAGCAGCACTTTGGCGGCGCGCAGTACGTTGGCCTGCAGTGCGTCATGGCAGGGAACAAGGCGTTTCTGTCGCAGATTGAGCTGTGCTACGCAAAGGATGCCACTGGCCGCCCCACCACCAAGACGCCCTGCCCCGCCACTGTCCTCAACAACAGCTACGACAACAACTGTGTCACCACAAAGCAGTCCCACGTCTACATCACAAAGATGAAGTGACGGGCGTGCGCCGCTGCTCTGCTTGCGCGCGCGTGAATGTCGACACGTGTGACAACACGCTTGCGTGCGTGCGTGCAAGCGTGTGTTTTTGTGGCTTTGTTGTGGTTGATGTTGTGGCTGTCGTTGTTCTGTCGCCTTGTTGTGCAGGAGGTTGTGTTGTGTTTGTGATGATGATAACCAAAGGGTGCCTTTGTATGGCGTCGACACCATCGCTCAAGTTGATGCGTGCGATAATGTTGTTGTTGTTGTTGTTGTTGTTGTTGTTGTTGTTGTTGGTGTTGTTGTTGTTGTTGTTGTTGTTGTTGTTCTCCTTCCTCTTCCTCTACCTCTTCCTCTCCCTCCGCCTCTCCCTCTTCCTCCTGCTGCTGGTCCTCCTCCCGCACTTGATTCCCGGTTGCTGTTGCACCCTTTGCTGCCTGCATGTTTAGATCCAATCGTAGCTCTCATTGTCTGGTGCCACGTGCCGTGTGTTCCATGCGTGCACGCCGTTTCCAATTTCCGTGCGGTCAGCGCTAACTTTATACGTTTCGCGGTGGTTGTTGTTCGTTTGTTTGATGGGACATGATGCACACTACATCCCATCCTGTTTTGCTGTCTATGTCATCTCAACGCGCTCTCTTTCGTTGTGTTTACTATGTTGCTTCTCTCGTTCTCCATCGCCACTGTTGTGTTTCCACGCACGAAGTGTACTCACTGATGAATGAATGCGACACAAGAGGGACA